GGAGGACTCGCTTTGACACATTTAGCCAAGGATGGCTCACTTTGACGCAGTTGGCCAGGGAGGACTCGCTTTGACACATTTAGCCAAGGATGGCTCACTTTGACGCAGTTGGCCAGGGAGGACTCGCTTTGACACATTTAGCCAAGGATGGCTCACTTTGACGCAGTTGGCCAGGGAGGACTCGCTTTGACACATTTAGCCAAGGATGGCTCACTTTGACGCAGTTGGCCAGGGAGGACTCGCTTTGACACATTTAGCCAAGGATGGCTCACTTTGACGCAGTTGGCCAGGGAGGACTCGCTTTGACACATTTAGCCAAGGATGGCTCACTTTGACGCAGTTGGCCAGGGAGGACTCGCTTTGACACATTTAGCCAAGGATGGCTCACTTTGACGCAGTTGGCCAGGGAGGACTCGCTTTGACACATTTAGCCAAGGATGGCTCACTTTGACGCAGTTGGCCAGCTTGAACACGCATTGCAATATATGCAAACCAAGAATCCTTATGTAGACCCTTCCTAGAAATATGTCTAGCAGCGTGCAGAGGGTTAATTCGGAGTTCTCCGGGAATGTGCCGGCCGACCTATCTAGATCACACGGATGATAAAGGGGAGGCAAGGAGAGAATAATATAAGCTGTGACTTGACAACTGAGTTGTACATTAACTTCTCACCCCATAATTATTCCAGCTCAAATTTTTTGGCCGATTCGGCAGCAATCTACAGAATTTCGGGCCATCTATGGCCAGTCTTAAGAAGAGCTGAAGGCTGCTGTCCTTCTCATATACCGTGTGAGTCCCTGGTGTGTACACAGGCTGCTGCACAGGTGCGGAATAAGTAGGAGCGTTGTCTCTTTAAAAACAATACCAGGAAAACAAACAGCATGTTAGTGGTCTGTGCATTCAGCGTTCAGGAAGTGCCGGAGACTCGTGCGTCCCGATATCCTCTGCGCTCCCCACTCCATTAATTATAGGCAGCGTGTTGCGTACTCTCAGGGCTGCTCCTCCACTTCACTCAGCTGCCTTATTAGGGTTCGCCTTGACAGCAGTCCAAGGTCTAAGCAAAGTGCTGGTAGCTAGATGAATGACAATAAATTTATTTTCCAGCAGAGGGACTGAAATCCGATCCCTGCGAGGAGTTTCCTGTCGGAATCGGATAGAAAGCTGCAGGTGACTGGATCTTCGAGCTGGGACCGGACTCTTTGCGGGACCATCCATCACGCCAGGACCTACAGAAGCCGCTGAGCGGGAGCGTTTGATCCTCACCTGTACCCCCAGCTATAAGGTAAAGTGACTTCCACCTCTTCCAATGTGCCACGGGGCATTGCATTGTAAAATCCGTGCTGCCTGGTTGTGCGGAATACCTGGCACTTCCATGGTGCAGGGCGTGGGATGGCTCCACCGCACTCTGCGACTTTGCTGCCTCTCCTTTTCACAAAGGAAAGGTCAGGCGTAAGAGGAAAATAACAAGTGCTGTGCGGGAAAATTTTCGTCAAATTTGACAAGGAAAGTCATAGAATCCATGCTGCAGGGCGTTATTGTGCAGGAGGAGTAGCTGATGCCTGGAACTGACTTGCGGCAGAGATGCCGGGGACCGTAACAAGCACTGGATTTAAACATGAAGAGAGATAGAGTGGTCTCCACCTATTATGGTCCACCAAAATGTAAAGATTTTGGCAAATTGCCGTAGCTCGCCAGCAAGCCAGCTCGTTTTTTTAACTTCGTCAATCTGGCAACGTTAAATAGATCCGCATGTGGTTGTTGTGGGACATTGTACTTTTGGATCGTTCGATAACTTGAAACGTCCAGCTGTCTGTCTTTCCATTTTGCCGCAGGGCTGACGCATGCTCTCCTGCACCCACCTTCTTGCGTGGGCTCATCGTATAACACTGACTTGTGCCTACAGCCTTTCACAACAACCTGCACGAATGATCAATTGCTGCAGCTATATACAGTATCTGTGCATCACGTGTGCGCTACCCAATCAACCTTTTGTGAGTACAGAACTTGGTGTGCGATGTGGTGTAGGCGACCCTCCTGGGTGCATATCACTGGATTGTATTGCCTGCTTCTGTAGGCTCCTCCTTCTGTTCTGGCTGATCTGGGCACTTGAGAGCACATTGTCCCATGGCTGACTGTTGTTGTCGGCCTATGGGCACGGCTCATGCCATACTTGCTGTGCTATACACTCTGATTACATATCACGTGTGTTAAGTGGAAGGTGTTGCATCTTGGATGATTGGTCAGATGCCCTCTGCTCTCCGTCTTGTCCTTCACTACCCACAGGGCAGCCATCATGGGGGTACGGCCTATACTCATGTAAGGGGCCCGGGGGGCCCACCCGAGTCCCTTACATGACTATTGGCCGACGTTGAAGGGCGAGGAGGCAGAGGCCTGGCCCTAGCAGCGCAGGGCCCCAGTGGCTTCGAGACAAGCTGGGGCCCCATCAGCGAAGCTG